ACTTGAGAAGTATATTTTAATGTAGCATTTTTAAATAGATAGTATATTTTATTTTATAAAATATAAAAATCAAAAATTTTATAAAAAAATGTAAAATGGTAAAAAAATCGATAATCTTAAAATTATCAAAAATAAATAATATAAGATAAAAATATTTTGAAAATATTAAATAGTACAGAGTATTAATTCTATTATGTGAGAACGTTCTAAAAGGCTCTGAAATAAATATATGATATTTTAAAACAACAGAAAAATCAAATTAAAATTTTAACAAGGTTCTTAGAATTAAAAACACTAAATTACAAATTGTTTAAATATTGAAAATCGAAAATACAAAAGTAAAAAAAAAATAACAAAAATGAAAAATTAAAAAAATTTAAAACTTGCAATAATGAACTTATACACTTTAGATATTATTATTATTATGATCAATTAATTGTTACTTTTGTTGCATATTGTTTCTTTGTGTTTTTTATTGTTTCTTCCTGTTTCTTTTTGTTTATTCATAAATCCAAATTTACCATCTTAGGTGTTTATATGTGTGTATGTGTGTGATTTTTTATTCCAAATAAGTAAGGAATATAAATATAAATATAAATAGACAAAAAAATCAAAATCAATATGCAACATTATGTAACAAAAAGCAACAGGTATAGTAAAAAGCAACAAGATGCAATCAAAAGCAACAAAAAGGAACACGATGCATAAATCCAAAAGAGAAATTTTTGTTTTTTATTGTTTATTTATGTTTCCTGTCATTGGTTTATATTCATAAATCCAAAGTTATCATTTCTGAGTTTTTCTTACTTCAAAGAAGTAGCAAAAATAAATAAAAACCTGAATAAACAACAAAAAACAAGATCAACAATAAAACAAAAATAAGTAACACAATGCAACAAAATGCAACCCATTCAATGCAACAAAAAACAACAGGAGGCAACAAAAAGCAACCCATTCAATGCAACAAAAAGAAACAAAAAATACATAAAAGTATCACATCAATTGTGTAATTCAATCTAGCATTTCAATTTATTACATATATATGTATCTATCATATAATTTGGCTTTCCTTCATATCACTTCTTTTTATGCATCTTAACACACATTTTTTCAAGGTTGAATATCTTGTCTTCACTTTCCATGATAGTCTTCGTTTTATTGTTAAAAATCAATAAAGATAAAGCATATTTTGTTCATCCCGAATAAATAAAGCATATATGAGTAAAACATTAGAATACATGTACAACACAATGAGGGAATACATTTGACAGCATTGTGTAAGGATAAAAGACACGGTTTTGATGCTCAAATCCAAAGATTTCATCAACTACTCAGTCATGTTGTATTAAATTACTGATTTGGGATGTGCTACATCTTTCATCTTTCTGGTCAGAAAAATCTTTTATCAAACACATGGATATACTTCTTGTCCACGGAATAGGCAATGGGAGAACGTACATTAAGTACAGCAATAACACCTACATCCTTGGTAGCTCTTGGTAACCTGCATTTGAGTATCACTGAAGCACAAAACACAATACGAATTAGGGAGAATTTCCTAAATATGAGCAAAAAAAGTTTTGAAATTCCAAAATAGGAGTATCATGTTTTTGTTCCTTGAACAGGAGTAAATTTCTGCTAAGTTTGGCATTAGTAGGCTTTAAAACATGACATTTTCTTTCAAACTTGGCAGATTACTCCTATTAAGGGAATAAAAAACATGATACTCCTATTTTGGAATTTCAAAACATTTTTGCTCCTATTTGGAGCAATTTCTATACGAATTAAGATTTTTTCATTCCATTAAAAAAACAAGCAGCAGGGATCAAACAATTGGCCGCAACGGAGATTATTTCCCCTTTCTTCTGAAAGGGCCCCAGTAACAAGAAGAAGACCAAGAGCATTTTTTCTCTTCATTTTTCTGGAATGGCCGCAGCAGCAACCAAAAGAGGAGAACCAAGGCATGTGGATTGATACATTTGATCAAATTGCATCGCAAAGAGATCCAACATACCAAGAACACTAATTTCAGCGCCTGTCAGAATTGTTGCACTAATGTTAAAAATACATTAGGATTGGTAAGAAATACATTCACAAGGGGATGTAATTGCGGTGTGCTACTCTGATTTACTAATGTCATCCATCAATATCCAACATATTTTGCTTCTCTCCACACTCTAACTCTACAATTATATCCCCACATGCCAAAAAATAGATAAAAGTAATTAATTATACAGGAGATAGCCTTCCATCAAGCCTTAATTTGAATCTGGTTTGGCATGACAGTTGGAAGTATATGAATATTGTACATATACCAAAGCAAGAAGACAATCACTTATAGTCTAAGCCCAAACCCCATAGACAACACGCTCCAAGTCTCCATAGAGATGCGTGGATATAAGTATATAACCTATTGTTTTTAGTTCTCTATTTCGATATATTATTTTCTGAAATAGGTGATTTTTTTAGTTTTAATGTTGAACTCTAATTTCAGTTGCTAATCATGGCTCAAATTTCATGATCAAAGCATTTTTGTGAGTTTGCATAAGCTCAAGAACAAGAATGAAAGATAATGACTTGTGCAAAGAAACTGGAAAATGATGAACTGCATCCACGGAACATAAACTTAAGACGGCCCTTCTCCTATGCTATAAAAAGTTGTAGATTGGGGGAATTTGAGAGTAGAGCGGCAGACGGTTGTCTTCTAGTCTGGATGGTTAGAAATCCTGCTTTTGGAGGCAAGAACACGGCAGCAGGGAAGATTTTTATGTTATGCTTATTCCAAAAAGTTTGTGTTTATTTAAACCATACCGAATTCTTAATCGATTCACAAACAATTTTTCTAAATTAACAAATAAAATGATAAAAGACATATAGATAACATATAGAGAGGAGGAGAACTGAAGAGCATACATGTGAGTAAATCAATTGAGTTGCTTGAACATAAGATCGAGAAAGCGATTGAAATCGCTTCTTGCCTTGAGCTTCTCGTCGCCGTTGATGGCTTTGAGTTGGGCCTGTATTGGAAATCGCCCGAATGTCTCCATCAATGTCGAGGAAGAAGATGAATGCCTAGCTAATTCACCGTAGAGTAATTCCCCGTGGGTTCCTGCCAACTTTTGTCTTCATTGATGGAGCCTGAAGGAACTTCATCGTCGATTCACAGAGGGATGCACTACGCATGTTTTAATTTAGGGTGTGGATTACTTTTGAAATAAAAAGTGTTAAAGTGAAGAAATAATTACATAAATATGATCAAAATAAAAATGATTTACAAAAATATGACTAATGACTAGAGTAGTAATGAAATCATAGTAATTCATGTTTAAGTTTTGAGCTTAAGTTACCACAACACCACATTGTAGTAATGAATAGTCATATTTATGAAAATATGACTTATTTTAGTAATATTCTTATAAAAACTCTAAAGTGAAAAGATGAAAGTCAGAAAATGAAAACAAAATACTTGTGTGACATAAATGAAATGTGATGCCTAAAATGGAACCGTACGGGTAATTTCCACTTGATTTTATTGTTATTTTAATATAAACCCATACAGCTGTAGTTTTTAGAGGCCCATTCCGATTCTAGATCTATCTGCTTTTCATAGCATCATCATCCTTATTCAAAGAGGAGCCCTAGCCGCAACAGATTGAACGAGAGCACAGAGAAGGGGATACATTCGGAGAAGAGAAGAAGAGTTCATACAAAAGTGAGTGCGCATATGAGCCACTTCGCCGCCGCCGTAGTCTCCGTCACCCCAACCGCCTACGGCAGTCTGCAGCACCACCGCCACCGCCTATGATAGCCTTAACCGCCGCCTCTGCCACCTCTGCTGGCTCTATCGCCTCCGCCGTAGTCTATGCTACCGCCGTTTTCATACTCCTTGCTTCAATTTCGATCTCTGCTTTCCAGATCTGTTCAATAAGTTCTTTTATATTTTTTGTTACATGATATTTTATGTCCATAATACTTGTATTGGTTGATAGTGTTGTATAGTGTAGGAAGTAATATATCAAGAAGTATGTAATTCGTATAGTTATTGTGATGTTTTTCGTTGTTAATTTGAAAGGTGTAATATATTACGACAATTGTTCTTTATGTAATTTTAGATTCAATGAATATTGCACTTTGAGTTAAAAACATATTATTCTTTAGAAAAGGAGTTCCACCGTTCCGACATGTTGAAAATAAAAAACATTGGAGGCGCTTTGTAACAGGCCGCACGTTTAATTTATTTCAAAAATTATAATTGTAATATCAAGGCGCTTTTATGTTTGTTAAGAGCCACACTATGTATTTTGCGGCATAAAAATTGAAGGCGAATGTAAACGCCGCACGTGAGCCAATTTAGGCGCCTCTAAATGAAATTAGTTAAAATGACATACTTTATCTGCATAAACAGGAAAAATGATGAACTGACAGATTACATCATTCAATCTTTAAACCGATACTACATCACTCGAATCTACAAATTTTTGAACCGATAAGTGTTGTTCTTGCCGTGATATATAAAAAAATTTGTCACGGATTTATCCGTGACAACCCCTTTTTCGTACTGTATTATTAAAGGTTGCTGTTCGAAAATCAATAATTGAGGTTTGTCACAGAATTTGTCACGGATGGATCCGTGACAATTTTTTTTAATTTGTCACGGATTTGTCACGGATCTGTCCGTCACAAATGCCCGGGAGCAAAAAAAGCTTTCGCCGGAGTAGAAAACCGGTCGCCGAAGTAAATTTGTCACGGACCAAATCCGTGACAATTCTTTGTCACGGACCTATCCGTGACAACACGTTTTCGTGACAAATCCCAATATTCCGTGACAAAGCCCGTGACAACTTTGTCACGGCCGTAATCCGTGACAAAATGCGAGTTTTTTTGTAGTGATAGCTTTTTTTTCATATAACTTTTTATTTATTTTATTAATAAAATACATTTTATGCTAATAAATACTCTCTTTGCTCTGTTCAATGTGTTTTTCTTCTTTTTGGACCAAAGTGGCTTAAATTAATATCAAAGCTTTCAGCAAGGGAACAAGAAGATAAAAGGACCACTTCCAACCACCAACTCTCGAACCAGACTTAGAGCCAACCACCCTGGAAAAAGCAATATGGCTCGCCGATCCTATAATGGGTCTAAATGAGTCTAACGTGATTAGAATAGACCCCTCATCACCCCAACCTAATGCAAGAGTATGACAGAAATAAAAATAAACGACGACAACAAAAATAGTATTACCAAAGCAAACAACAGTAAAGAAAACATAGTACTGGAAATTCGGTTGCATCCTCAGTATCCCGAAGATCTTCTCCTGTCCTTCCCTGACCTGGAGTGTCTTTAGAGCTCTCGGCGGGTCTGATAACCATGACCCGCCCCCTTCTTTGTTTTTTGGATAACCCAATGCCATGTAGTCCCCTCCAATATCCTCGTACTGCCTCTATTCTCCCACCTCCGTCATTCCTATTTGAGAAGTCCTCGAGGTCCACAAGACTTGGTAGCCTTAAAAAATGTTTCCTTCATGCGCCTGCAATATATCCCTACATCAGTCAAGAATCGTCTGGGCATCTAATATTGAGGAACAAAAGTCTCATCCATACAACCCTTCTCAATAAATCAAGCGTCGGAATTGCATCCGACATGGACTAGGCCTACACGGATTTGGGTCTCCCATCCGTCGGAACTGTCCCATCCAGCCACCGATAGCAGGCCCACCGGCCAAGCCGCAGAGCAGATAAGCCTCGACAAGTGTATCCCACGCCTGAACCGCCAACTCAAACCAGGCTCTCCCGCCGATGTAAATCCGACTCCAAGGACAGACAACCACATCGTAAAAACAATCAAATCACTAAAGAGAATTAAATTCCAAGCAACAAAACCCGCACCAACTTATATCAAAGTTAGGCGACGAAAATAGCAAACCCTACGAGAGAGGGAGATGACCGCTTTTCACATAGAATTTTCAATGTGTTTTTCTTGAATATGCTCCCGAAATTAAAGGTTATCGTTGTTGCTTTTTATGAAAATATTTTTTCACTCCAAATAAACTTTATTACCTGTCCCACACCTGTCTACCTTGTTGCCTTCTTGGAGCTCTGAATCCGCTACCCCATTCCCACCTATTTCGCACAGACAGCCGCCACCCTAGTCCCTAAGGTCAAATGTAATGTTAAACTTACACTAAAATTTTGTGTTTTAGTTGTCCCAAAATAGTTTTTCTTTTACTTTTTTATTTCATTAACTTAAAGACATCTACTTTTAAGAAGATAGATAAAAGTGTAAAAAACAATCGGCAGAACCATCCGGTCAGTCGGTCTGTATTATATCCAGAATCGGCAGAACCAACCGGTCAGTCGGTCACTACTGACTACTATATAAAACCATATCAAGAAACACGTACATACATACCACCCATTAAATTACTCCAAATCCTAATCCGGGATGGAGGCTACTTTCAGCTTACTTGCCGTGTGTGTTGTCTCATCAGTAGTCATAATATTATGGGGAGTGATGGATTGGGTGTGGTTGAAGCCCAAGAGGTTGGAAAAGTGCCTTAAACAGCAAGGCCTTAAGGGTAACCCCTACAGGCTCCTCTCCGGAGACATGAAAGATATTGCCAGCATGATAAGCGATGCCAATTCCAAACCCATGAATCCCTCTGATGATTATATCGCTCCTAGACTCCTTCCCTATTTCCTTCACCTCATCAACAAATATGGTAATGATTAGTTACTCCCTACTGTTTTGTAAAATTTTATTTCATTTGGATTCATTTTGAGAAAAGTGTTGTTTTTTAGGCCTAGCCCATTTGGTAACTCCACAACAAGATGATCGAATTTGTTGAAATTTTGATTGAAATGATGGTTGTAATTAATCCGTGAAAAAATTCTGCTTTTTGTCCCGTAACTATTATACCATTTCCACATTTAGTTCTTTACTTTCAGATTGTTCACATTTAGTCTGTGACCATTATTCTCTCACCACTCCTTCCGGCCAAAATTCCATCAAATTTAATGCAGATTTTAGGTATGAAAAACCAAATTTAATGAAAAGACTGATATGAAAAACTCAACCTTATATAAAATTCAATGCAAAGACTGATTATGAGACTAATAAGTAGACTAATTTTGGCGGAATTTTGGCCGGACGAGGGGCGGTGAGAGGATAATGATCACAGACTAAATGTGAACAATCTGAAGTGTATAATAGCCAGAAATTAAAATTTCAATTCTGCGGTATCATTTGGAACTCCGCAGGTAGAAAGTGCTATGTGTGGATGGGACCACAGCCTGCTGTGTTCATCTTGGATCCGGATTTAGTAAAGGAGGTTTTCAATAAGCACCATGTGTATCAAAAGCCTCAGAGCAACCCGCTAGGAAAGAAGTTAATTCAAGGACTAGTCAGCATTGAGAAAGACGTATGGGCAAAACACAGAAGAATAATCAATCCTGCCTTCTACTCTGAGAAGCTTAAGGTACGTAGCTAGGTCAAGGTGTGCTCAATTACGTCCACAATTTTATCACAATCAACTTGATATGACATTCTGTACTTTAGGTGAATTGGTAGGTGAAGTCAAGTGGTCAACCTTTTTTGCTGCACTTTGCTTCTTGAAAATTTATTTTTGTTTTGTTACATTTTTTCCTTTTTTTCGATAAGTTTTTCTTTTAAAAACATTCAATTATTTTTCTTATTTTCTTTCATATTTTTTGACTTTCTCTTTTACCTTTACTATACTATTCATTTTTCCTTTCTAGTTTCTCCTACTTTTTATACTATTGAATTTTCCCGGTTTTCCCGTTTGGTTCATATTCATACTTTCCCTGTTTGTGTGTTTTTCACTGATAACTGGCCTCCAACTAATGACCAACTTCTAGTGGCATCCTTTAAGAAACTACTTCTCTATATAAGTTTGGTCAACTTAGTGTTTGCAAATCAATAGCATGTTCCTAGTACATTTAAGTGGCGTCATTACGCAGTAGAAGTACAGTGAACCAAGTTACGAGGTAAAAACAACTGTATTACAATAAACATACACACTGAATATTCCATACTTAGATTGAAAATGAGATAATGTAATTACTTACCAAAATTAAAAAATCAAAGAGAACAACCATCCTCATATAAAAAGAAAAGAAAATACAGATTAAGATATTATCCAACATCAAAGAGTGAAAGGGAAAAAAAGAGATACGTTTCTCGAGTAAAAAAGAATGATCTCGGTTGTGAAATTTGCAAAAGTAGAACAAGAAGCGAGAATGCATACCAGTTTTTAGATCACTGATTTTTATTTTATTGTATCTATTAATAGTATTCTGGTATCAACAGCTTATGCAACCAGCTTTCTTGCTATGCTGCGGAGAAATGGTAAGAAAATGGGAGGGGATTGTCTCAGAAAAAGGATCTTGCGAGCTGGATGTGTGGCCTGATCTTCAAGGCCTGACGTGTGATGTGATCTCTCGAACCGCGTTTGGCAGCAGCTATGAAGAAGGAAAGATTATTTTTGAACTCCAGAAAGAGCAAACCAAGCACTTTATTGATGCTGCACGCCATGTTTATGTCCCTGGATGGAGGTACTTAATTAAGCTTAATATGAAATATAGGGAGAGTGTTTTCATTAAACACATAAGTTTGTTATTATTCCAATGCAGATTCCTGCCAACCAAGAGGAACAGAAGAATGAATGCCATCCAAAAGGAAGTCAAATCATCGATCCGGGGTATTATAGACAAGAGGTTAAAGGCTGTAAAGGAAGGAGAGGCTAACAAAGATGATTTGTTAGGCATATTGTTGGAATCTAACATAGAAGAAATAAAAAAACATGGTAAAAAAGAATCCGGAATGAGCATTGAAGATATCATCGAGGAGTGCAAACTGTTCTATTTTGCAGGACAGGAGACTACTTCCGTGTTGCTAGTTTGGACTATGATTCTCCTCAGCAGATTCCAAGATTGGCAAACGCGAGCTAGAGATGAGGTTCTGCACGTTTTTGGCCAGGACGAGACGCTTGATTTTGAAAAACTAAATAACCTCAAAGTTGTAAGTACGAGTCCTTATGGTGCCAATTCTGCTCTTGCTAGCTTCATAATTACGCTCTTAATTCTGATATCCTCACGTCATTATTTCAGGTGACAATGATTTTGTATGAGTCTTTGAGGTTATATCCACCAGTACCTGGCCTGATGAGGAGAATAGTGGAGGAGACAAAACTTGGGGAAATAGTTTTGCCTCCAGGGGCAATGGTGTCATTACCAATACAATTGTTACATCTTGATAGTGAGATATGGGGTGAAGATGTTAAGGATTTCAACCCAGAGAGGTTCAGTGAAGGGATAATTGGAGCAACCAAGGGTAAAAACGCTTTCCTTCCATTTGGCGGAGGGCCTCGAATATGTATTGGCCAAAACTTCGCTTTGGTGGAAGCTAAGATGGCTATCACAATGATTCTACAACGGTTCTCCTTTGAACGCTCTCCTTCCTATGCTCATGCTCCCATTTCAATGGGGACCACTCAACCTCAACACGGTGCTCCCCTCATTATGCGAAAGCTCTAATATGTTACTTATGTTTATGACCTTAAGGATAAAACAATGTGTTTCTGGAGATGTGAATGTACTGTCTCTGTATATAGACAGTTGTTTTGATATACTCTTTTTTACTTCTTATTTTCAAGAGAAATATGTGTCATATCTTATGCTTTATTATTCTACTGCCGTGTATAAATAAAAGAGTAAAAGGTGTAGCTTTTGCAAATCAACTGTTGACCTCCTTCATACCTACTGCTACCTAAGAATAAATAGATAAACAAACAGCAATGGAGATATTCTTGAGGAGGAAAAGGTGTAGCTTTTGCAAATCAACTGTTGACCTCCTTGTTTAGGTTGCCTAACATTACAGCTCTATTATTAATTCAATGAAACCAGCCATTGAGTCTAGGAGTTATGTCTGGGAGGACTGGACCTCAAGTTTGTAAGCGGAGGTGATAACGCCCATTAGGTGGTTTGTCAATTGCTTAAACTTTACCACCGGACATCACATAAGAACAATTTCCTGTCCAAAGCGCTGATGCTAGCAGATACGTCAACGCCATCAAGTCCTTGTCGATTGGGACAGGCTCAGGCATTTTTGTATCTAATTATAGGACACATTATGTTCTATGTCATGGGTAGTTCCTTAAGTTCCTGATGTTATGGAGACGTAAGTATGGAGATGAACCGCCCTTCACGTTCTTGAAAAGCAGTGTTGATTATAATTCAGCTGCAATGGCAAGCTTGCAACAGCAATAGCAGCCATAAGAGGTGCTGCTGCATCACAAGTGGCTGGAGTGACAATGAACAGATTGAATGCCCCAAACATTTGGTTGTGGTGGACATTTATCATTCTGTTGCAAACCAAGCCCTCCAATATACAAAGCATATGTATATTTTGTGAATTAATATAGCTCACTCAGGCACAATATAAGATTGAGATAATGGAAACTAATAATCGAACCTTTTAGTGGTCTTCTTACAATAGTCACACATTTTGATTATTTAGGAATAATCCAACCTTTGCACCCCATCTCGCACCCCATCTTCATTCAATGGTCCTGATGGAGTATATTCCCGTATATCCCAGGGGTACCGCGATCGCCGGTAGAGAGCCTTGCGGGTTCATCGGAAGCAAGAAAATACTAAGCCCACATCTGGATCCGGCCCCGACCCCGACCGCCGAGGTCAGGAAGCACCAAGTTCAGGAATCAAGTAAACTCAGCAGATAACGGAGTCCACCGACTCCGACCCCGGCCTCGAGGTCGGGAAAACATCGAGCTCAGGAGCCAACTAAACTCGACGATTCATGAGCCCGACCTCAGAACGTCCGAGATCGGCACCAAGTCTGAACTCAGAAATCTTACTCCAGGTCAACGTCAATCAAATCACCAGGCGGTCAAACCACTTCCAAAGCGAGAATGGAGGACAACAGAACGAATCCTCCCTACATGGGTCCGAGCCCTCAGATACCGACCTCAGTAATCCTCGAGGTCGGGGGAAAAAGCACCCTGTACTTAAACGAAATTCGCAAGGGATTGATGCGTGAGGAAACATCGCCACGTCACTCTTCGCGCTGACGGAATGTACCAGATTATCTGCATACAACTACACGGGATCTTTGGTAGGATTTCTGTTAGAGGAATGATCAATCAGCCAGCTACCAGAGGCTCTCTCTCCAATCAACTTTCCACGTGGCGGCTCCCGGTCCATTTAGTCTGGTAGTTTGTTAGAATAGCTTTACACGTGTCCCTCTCCTATTAGACTAATATCTTTTTACTTGGGCACCAAGTATTTCCCTTTCTCCTTAGTATAAATATCACCTTCCAACTTGTGGAAAGAGATCGAATTTTGGAGGCTTGAGCTTTTATCAATCGCACTCTAAATTTCATACTGTGAGACTTGCAAACCAGTTCGCTCTCCCCATTTCCTCTCCTACTCTTGGTGGATTCCGGCTACCCCTGGTCCGACGATCCATCATTTTTTGTGCTTTCATTGAGAGTCGGAAAAACATCGAGCTCAGGAGCCAACTAAACTCGACGATTCATGAGCCCAACCTCGGAACGTCCGAGGTCGGCACCAAGTCTGACCTCAGAAATCTTACTTCAGGTCAACGTCAATCAAATCACCAGGCGGTCAAACCACTTCCAAAGCGAGAATGGAGGACAACAGAACGAATCCTCCCTACATGGGTCCAAGCCCCCAGATACCAACCTCAGTAATCCTCGAGGTCGGGGGGAAAAAGCACCCTGTACTTAAACGAAATTCGCAAGGGATTGATACATGAGGAAACATCGCCACGTCACTCTCCGCGCTGACAGAATGTACCAGATTATCTGCATACAACGACACAGGATCTTTTGCAGGATTTCGGTTAGAGGAATGATCAATCAGCCAGCTACCAGAGACTCTCTCTCTCCAATCAACTTTTCATGTGGCTGCTCCCGGTCCATTTAGTCTGGTAGTTTGTTAGAATAGCTTTACACGTGTCCTTCTCCTATAAGACTAGTATCTTTTTACTTGGGCACCAAGTATTTCCCTTTCTCCTTAGTATAAATATCACTTTCCAACTTGTGGAAAGGGATCGAATTTTGGAGGCTTGAGCTTTTATCAATCGCACTCTAAATTTCATACTGTGAGACTTGCAAACCAGTTCACTCTCCCCATTTCCTCTCCTACTCTCGATGATTCCGGCCACCCCTGGTCCGACGATCCATCAGGTCCCTGACCGGTTGATGACCTGTTATTCTAAGTTATTTTCTTATCTTTGTAATATATTATACCATAAATCTCATCTTATGATCACATAATGTTTCTCAAAGATAAAAAATAACTTGGAATAGCAGGTCGGTAACCGGTCAGGGACCATTGAATGAAGATGGAGTGCAAAGGTTGAATTATTCCTGAATAATCAAAAGATGGAACTATTGTAAGAAGACCGTTAAAAACTTGAATTATTAGTTTTCATTTTCCCTATAAGATGTTCTTTTAAATCACATAAACCTTCACAGAACCACAATACACACACTTGTTCATAGAGATTGGCATCCCAAGTCCCAAATAAACTATCCCTAGTAACTACGATGGAACGATAATCTAAAAAAATTGAGAAAAATTAGAAAGTCCGTATCGAGAAAAACTTGTACTATCACATGGCCATGAATGGCTACCATGTGCCCCTTTTCGTTCTGTTTGAAACCGAAGAAATAAAACAGAAGACATGACCGTTTTTTAGGGGTTCAATAGTTTATCCAGAACAGGGCCACCAGATTTACGGGGCCCCAATTTTTTTAAAATTTATTAGTATTATATAGTACTATTATATATTAATACTAATCAATAAAATACATTTAGTAAGGAAGAAAAATATAGATCCATCATTTTTTTTCGTTGGTCCTTTCACTCTTTTGGTTCTCTTTTAATGTGTATTCAATTGATTTCAGTCTACATATTTGATTGAGATTTTTTTTAACTTTTCATATTAATGTGGGTCTCAATTTACATTTAGAATGAGGGCCTTCAAATTCATTAGACGGCCCTGAGAGAAGCTTGTGCTATTATGGCCAGTTTGATCACTAAATAGGATTGCCAATTTATTAGATTCCACACTTGATGTCGCAGTCTTAGATTTGTGAGTGAATTAGGATTCAAACAAACATTCTTTCCATTTTTCACATGAACTATACTCATTTGCAGTTCTTTCAATAAAAAAAGTTTCCTCTGCATATCAACACAAAAATGAAAGAAAATTGCCTTTTTCGATATGAGGATTCGATCTAAAACTAAACTAGTATGTTTGTGCTTCTGCCAAAATTCTACTTCGTATCTAAGCATAATCTAACAGCTAGGCTGACGCTCACATGAAATATGCGGCATCAAGGATATGATATCAAACGCCGGCGGTGGCGGGGTGACTCCACCACCACTCTCAATCTCCTATCCGCTCCGATGACAGCCCGATGGCGGCATAAAGGGCAAGTCTCATTCTTTCTTAGCCATGCTGCAATGCAATATTTATGGAATGCATGCGAACAGGCCGGAACCAAACTGGTTACCACTTGGCCATCCTCGTACTCCGACAAACACACTGCACATATCTTCTCCAGCCTGCCATCATTCTCGCCGGCTCCGCCTTTCCAAGTTTCCGACTTGAGCGAGCGGATATAATTTTCGGACAATCCGGCCGGACCTTCCAAATCTTCATCATCGTCGTCGTGGCCCGTTTCGTATTCGACAGTGATGGTACCGCCGGAGGATTTGAAGTCCGGAGTTTCGGGACGCTTCAAGACTCCATTGGCCAACCGACGAATGATTCCCCGCAGTCGATCATCACCGGCGGGATTCAATCCAAAACGAGATGAAAGCACGAGGGAGAAAAAAGCTGTTGCGTTCCGGGGGGAAGCCAGAACATGGCCGGGATTGAATTCAACGATTGTCCACCGAGTCGCCATTTTGTAGATTATTTTGAAGCGCAGAACTCCAGTACTGTAGCTGCTTGTGGACTCCATGATATTCATTAATATGTACTAGTCTAGCGTGCTGTCAAGAACTTATTAATGGAGAGATCGAATAAAACATGAAGAGAAGAGCGTCTACCTCTACTGTTTTATAGGGAGTATAAACAAAATGGGAGCAGAGGCGGTGCTTGATCGTTTCTTAATTACTCCCATAGCTAGTAGCATACTCAAATTAAAATCAACAAAGTCTTTTCTTGACTCTTGTTTCCTAATCTTTATCTTTGTTTCCTAATTATTACGTCCAAAATCTCAAAATCCCAGGGGCGAGAGGATACCAAAGCTAAAAATAGAAATAATGGAACATGATACTCTCTAGGAGTCCTGACAGATATATTTATAATAAAGAAGAGTTTAATGTAAAGTACAATACTGATCCTATAATAATTCTATTACGCCCCCTCAAGCTGTGCGGGAGATACAACACACAGGTTGTCTTTTAAAAAATGAAAACGCTGATTAGGAAGACTTTTTGTAAATATATCTGCCAATCGTAAATGAGTAGGAACATGTTGGACAATCAAATCTCCATGAGCAACACGTTCACGAACAAAGTGGTAGTCAATCTGTATGTGTGTACTTCGTGCATGCAGAAAAGGATTAACAGTCAAATAGGAAGCTGAGACGTTATCACATAATAGATGAACATGTTCGGTTATGGGAAAACCGAGCTCAAATAAAACTGATCGAATGTGCAACGTATCCTGAACGGTATAGGCAATGGCTCGATACTCTGCTTCTGTAGAAGACTTGGACACAGTGGGTTGCT